TTACCACTCCTAAGCATGCAGTGTGCCAGCAGACTGCTCTTCACTGACCTACACTGCTTATCCTGCAAGGAAGTGGAAGAGGGAAGGGAATTTCCATTGACAGAGTGACTCATCTAGTGATTCAGATTCTTCACCTGCTCCTAGAAACATCCATACAGATCCTAGACATAATGAGAAAGGGGTCAAAGTCCCAGTGCCTGTTAAGAAACCTCATGGCCCACTATGGAGTCATGCTCCCTCACAGAGGTAAATTTCCCTGGGCTAGGATTCCTAATGAGGTAAACCCCAAAGATTTCTTACCTTCTTATATGCCATGGCCCATGCTCAGACGTACTCTGCATAACAGCAAACAAGGTCTGCACCAGCTCCTGATTTGTCCCATTGTACCAAAACCACATTTCTGGTTTGATGAGTGAGACAGAACAACTAGTCTCAGCACTTGGAGGGTTATGGAAAGCAGTGATGAAGACATTGTCATCTGACCAGACAGTTTCAGAACACCACAGGATTTTCCATGTCCAAGCCCTAGCCCTGCAGTGGGTTGTCTTGAGGTACATTCAGCTGAAGCAGCAGGTAATAGCTCTAAGGCCATCATTACTGTTGAACAGCAGCAGCTTTTGGAAGAGATGTGGAGCATATGGAGAATGCAAATTTTCCTGCCTCCTTGGTTCATGCTATCTTTGCACTGCACTGCCACCAGAGAGCACCTCTAGGTATTTACTGATCTCTTTCTCCAGTGTGATTGCAGTAAGTTAAAGGGGTTTCAAATGGAAAAGGTTAGGTGTCTCCCAAACACCCATCTTTGCCTGATACATTTTCCCATTTCTGTTTAGCAACAGCACTTGAATTTTTTTTTTTTATTTTTTTTTTTTTTTTTTGTCCACAGTGGGCATCTCGGGAAGCCCTAATGCAGACACGTGCTACAAATCCATCTCCAGTCACCTTCCATTTCAGGTGCCTCACCAAAATCTGAGCTACCTCAGCTCTGCCACATTTAACACCCTTTCAGCAAATTCAGTGCAGAGCAGGCAATATCTCTACAAGCCAAGTAAGTCATATCCTACCCTTTCACCTCAAAACAGCTCAGTCTGGTTATAAATCATGCTTTATTGGATCAGCTTATGCTTAGGTGCCATGATTATACCTAACATGTCTGAGATATTATGTCACCTGAACATCCCTATGAGACTTTACATTGACTATTGAAAATGGTGTGCTTCTACTAAAAAGGCCTTTCACACATTTTGCCTGCTCTAAAATAATTATTCCAGGCTAGGGCCATGAAAGAAAATTCTGAAGTCAGGTATCAATGCTCCTATCACACATCATTCACCTGTATGTAGAAGTCTTACCCAAATTTCTATTCACCAACCTTTCTGTAACTGAGAAATTTTCATCCCTCAACATTTTTCATGAGTCCTAAAGAGGTGATCAATACATTTGCTGTTTTTCAGTGTAATACACAAGAACCCTTACAGAAAAAGTTAGGTCCCTTTTCAAGACAGGCAATACTTTAACCTCGTGGCTGATGGTATTGATCTCTTAGTCATCAATTAAAACCCTTCATCTTATATTCTCAGGAAATATAACTATCACTGACAAGCTAAGTGTGCAGTTCTGTGGGCTGTGTTGAGTCACAAATAAATATTTTTGCAGGTAGATTTTCTAGAATGCTGTATTGTAAAAGACCATTTATTCTCCCCAGGGGGAGCCACCCTAAATTTGCCTGTACCATCAACATGAAATGGCTGCCAAAAATCCTGCATTTGTACATTAGTGTGAAACTTTCGAGATGATTTTTATCCTAGCTGAGTTTTCAAGTAAGATGCAAGAACAGGCACTTATCTTGCATCAGGTGTTGCAGCTCACTGATAAGCATGCATGAAAAATTTTCTAGTTTAGTTTTCTCTAGTATTATACTTTACATCCAATCTACACCAGTTGTGCCTTAGAGCTCAAGGCCATTAGCAATTCCATCTTTCTAAGAAGAGTTATAAAAAATGACAATATTAAAGCTCCATTTCACCTAGTTCTCCTGATGATACTACCCCATTAAAAGCATTACTTTAGTCCAGGTTTAATTGATAACTATACTTTTCCTGCATTCTTTCACATTAATTGTAGGTATTTGAAATAATATTCTTGATTAAATTTAATTCAGCTGTGCCTCTGAAAAAGGAGTCTTTCCTTTTTCTTTCATTTGAAATTCACAGCCTAATTTTAGAAGTCCTAAAATAGGATCCTTCAGGAGTCAATGGACTGCCACAGGTCAGCCCATTCCAGCACAAGATAGATGTCCAAGGCAGATGGGATAAACAGCCCTCTGGACACATACATCTATTTCAACTATGTGCAGCTAGCATGTTTTTAGACAGATAAAAGAAGGCAAGATTAAACTCACCATAACTTTTGATCAAGATCTATGCACAGCACTGACACAGGATCAGTGTTGCTTGCTTTAAAAGTTTGTAGGTCCTTAGTTGTCCTGCATATATTTTGCAAAATTATACAACCTCAAAATCTTCTGTTTGGAATGAAAAGCAAAAATGAAAGGGAAAAAATAGAATGTATATTTCAAATAAAGCTTAATTTAAATACATATCAAAGCAGAACTTCATTGTAGATATGTTTGACCTTAGGGAGGAGCTGCCTATTGATAGTGAGAGGATGATGTAGCCCTGCCTGTGAAGTTAAGGCTGCTCTTTAGATCTTTCTAATTTCAGCCTTTCTACTCACTGCTTTTTGTAGTTTTGTTGGTACGTACAGAGACAGCCACAACATACACTTTCTAAACAACTGGACCAAGGAAAAAGAAGAACACTTGTAAAGAAGTTTTATGCAGGGCAATTGTTGTCAGTAGTTGTGAGACGGCCCAAGAGTCAGACATTCTTGTGTCTATACCATGAGAAGCATCTCCTTTATGCCTGAGCTTTTAATAAAGCAAGCAAATCTGATTCAAATGGAGAGGCATCCTCACATATTTTAATTCCTGTACGAGTGACAAATATTTCTGGAAGAAACAGACCTCTCTGGCAGAGTGCTTTTAATTTAAGAAGTAAAGTGACTCTAAAAACCCAGGCAAAAGCAGGACTTCAATTTCTGTGAAAGCATGTTTAATTTTAAACACTAATGATGTAAGAATTCAAGAGAAAATGGCAGCTAGTTTAAATATGAATTGTATTAATGAGAGGAGGGCAAGAATCTTGCCTTTTAAGTGGTTATGACTTAAACCTTCTAATTATAGCATGCATACATCATAGTTCAGTAAAAAAGAATATCAAGCATCCTCTGGATGGAAGATGCTCAGATATTTGGTGAACCAGCAGCTGATTAACAGGCAACAGAGCTTATCTTGTGGAAAAAGGAAAAAAAACCCTGAGCCTGTGTCTTTTCCCATTTACCTTGCTTTAAACCACAAACAATTCTGCTACTGTCAATGAAGTCACTTTGTTTTTGAAATGGCATGAGGGCAGAATCAATAAAAAAGTCCATTAATTAGTTTCTAACTTCATTCAGCTTTCAAAACAAACAAACAAACAAAAAAGTGCAACTTTAAGAAAACATACACACAACTGCATACTCCAAATAAAGCTAAAAGTCCAGTCCCAAAGACATTCTCTAAAAAAAACCAAAAAAATCCCAAATCATGAAGCTCTGAAGAGCAGCCTCTAAAGTGCCAAAGTGTAGTTTGCCTTTACCCAGCAGCAGTGGGACAGAACTGATGTGTCCTGTGATGGAGCAGGCCCTTCCTCTCCCCCTCTAGCCCCTAGCTCTGTGTCAAGAGGGTGGGGACCTTGCACAACTCTGTTTTGCTGCAAGGGATGCCAGAGATGCCCTGTGAGTGTTTTGGATTGCACCAAAGCTCCTGGGAGTTACAGGGAAGGCTGGAGAGACCAAACTGTGCCTCTCTAGCGAGCAGAGGATAGTTCAGATGAAGTGCTGTATTTCAGAGGACTTCCCAAGGATTTGGACAAAAGGAGAGAGCAGCTATTGGTCAGGCTAAGAAATGTCAGTAGGAGAAACAGATGGCCAAAAAGCTTAAAAACAAATTAAGAGTATTATACCTAAAAAGTAGAAAGTAAGACAGTTTTTCTGGAAGGACTTTTGCAGGTGAGGTGGGACCTACATGACTGAGAAAGCATTGGGTGAAGGTGTGAAGTTTCACCACAACTAGCTCTACCATGAGAGATTTAGGGGTTTTGGTTGTTTAGTCAGAATTCTGTTCTGCCTCAGTCTTATTTTGTGCCACTCCATTTTTTTGCAGAACCTATAACTGCATCCATCTCTTTGCTTTGTGATTTTTCTTTCTTTTGTGTATGTTACCAGTAACCTTTGTTCCTTTAGGCTTTATTACCACAGATTTTGTAAGAACCTGAAGCACAGGACAGAGGGATTTGCAATGAGAGCAGGATTTTGAATGCAAAGGGTGACTGAGTGTGGGGCTGACTGAACACTGCTGACACCAACTCCAACAGAATCCTGATTGCATACAGCCCTGGCTCCCAAACCTTTTGATCCCTGGGATATTAGCTCAGTTGCTTGGAGCATGGTAATAATAACACCAAGGTTGTAGGTTTGGTCTTCACATGGGCCATTCACTTAAGTTCACCTGAGGGTCCCTTCCAACTCAGAACATGCTGTGATTCTGATATTACCAGTCTTCAAACTTCCTTGTACAGCCAGATCTAGCTGATAAATATCATGGTCACTGTTATTCCTGAACATCCTTAGCTAGATCGCTTACCATCAATGATTTAAATAAAACATTTTCCTAAAGCAGTCATACTTCTCACTCCCAAATACTGACAGCACACACAGTACAACTGAACAGCAGCTCTACAGGATCACAGTCTGGGGATTTGCTCTGTAGAAGAATTGTTTGCAGTGACTTTTACCTGACAGGAACTGAAGATGGTTTTGCTATTGGAAATCACATCCCAAAACTGCTCTTCTCTGAGCTCAGACAGGGAAACAGATATACACACAAATGAAACACTCACCAGTCTCAGAAGAAGTTGTCTTCACAGAAAGAAGTTTGACTCCTTCTTTATCTGACTGGGCCCTGTTGAAGTCAGAAAACATTTAAGCACACATGTGGGTCATGTCCAAACAAAACTCTAGGATTTTGGTCCTGAGGAGGCAGGACCTACTCCAGTCTAAACTGGCAGGCTTAAAATGGGCTTTGCATAGGGTCAGGTGGTGGAAAATACCATATGACAACATCTCTGAAAATATCTTTCTCTTAAAGTATGTAATAAATCAGGTTTCATTACTCCAGGTTTAATCTAGGACTTCACAGAAGAGGAGGGAAAAGGAGGAATATTTTTTTCTGTCATGCAAACCTTTTAGCTGTGTTGAATTGCAAAGAAGGACCACTTCAGACATCCAGGGAGTCAGGGCTACCAAGTAAACCAGCAGCCTAAATGTTGTTTTTGGTCATGCAAGCAGCCACTGCCAGGCTCAATGGCCTTTAGTTTCTATCTTCTAATGGATCTTTCTCAGCTTCCCTCTCCTCACACTCCTTAAGCCACTACTATTTCAACTCTGCAAATGGTCTAGTGGAAACAAGATGGGACAGAGGAACATAATATAATGGGGAACAAGTGAAATACAGATATAAATGATCCAGAATAAAAAGGAAACACGTTAAAAAGAGAGAAAACATGAACAAAAGAAGCAGAGTGGGAAAAGATGAGGGGGTAAAGGAGAGGGATCAATGGAGTAAAAAGTAAAAAAAGAAGGATAAAAGACTGGACCAGTGAGTCCTGTGGAACAGCAGAAGCTGTCTATCCATTTCAAAAGTACCAGTTGCAAAACAGTTGAGAGTCACCACGTCTCTATCCATGATGGAAGAGCTGCTTATCATGCATACAGGTCTACAATAACTGCAAGTGCAGCACTTTCAACAGGATATTTCTTTTTGGGGTGGCAACTGATTAAGATATTTAAACAGAAGAAGATCAAAGAAAATCCTATGCAAAATCTGTTACATTTACAAGTGCCCTCTGATAGATCTCAAAGCAAAGAAAAGATTCAACCTACTGTTCAGAGCCATTCTCTTGTCTCTCTGGAAGAAGAAAAGAAGTTAATTTCATTTTGATTGCTGGAACTCAAACCCCAAATATTTAGATATGGCTATTGCAGTTGCTGGCAGGAGGTTCAGTTGTAATTTTGCAGTATTGCATTAAGTTCATAAACACAATCAACCAGCTTGAATAGTAATTGTTATTTTTCTGGTCATCTATGGAAGTGAACTGATGCTGCTTGTACCAACACTTCTGGAAACCAGAGAGAATGACATTTGACTTGTCCAAGAGCACAACAGAAGCATGTTTTTCCCTGCAGCTCCCAAATCCCTGGGTAGCTGGCACAGAGGATGTGAGCATGCCATGGTTCTCAAGTACACAATAACTGAGCTAAAAGATGCAGGGTAAGGCGACTGAGGGAACAAGGGTGTTCCTGAGGCTGTACCCCATGGGGGTACAGCCTGGCACAATGTCTGGGAACAGTTTGTCATCCCCATCGATGAGGAACAGGTTTGTCTCCAAAATAAATCATATGCTGAATGTATTTTATGCTTATGTGCAAGTGTGGGCAGATGGAAGGGGCCAGGGGGTTACATCAGAGATATGGAGCCAACTCCATGGCACCAAGCACAGGGGAAGTGCACTGGATAGACCTGGGCAAATCCTACAGGAAGCACTGCAGATATCTATTCTATCTTCCAAATGAATTTGCAAATAGAGTGCCTGATGACATTTGTGCACAGGGGAGGCTAGTAAGGAAATGTTCTTCATCTCACGTCTTTATCTCCTGACTCTGAATATTCCGTAATTTCCTAAGTAAGGATCACACCTTCCTCTGTTTATCTGGGTCTGTTTTTCCATGTCATTGGCTAAATTGGTTGTGACACACTGTTTGTCTTGGTTTACAGCTTCAACACCCTGTTGTGATTTTGTATTTCCAAGGCCTGGCGATTTCACAGTTCTGCACAGGTCTCCTAACTCATGCCAGCTCACAGGGAAAGAAAAACCACAGTCTGGATCAGATCTGTAAATTAATGGAAATTTACACTTACCTTTGGCCTACTTGGGTGATCCTGAAACACTTGGCAAATGGACTTTGATGGACTATAACCCATTATCTTGAGTATTTAATGGACAGCAGAGAAACAGATACTGACTTTAGCTGCTTTGTCAAAATGACTATTTCTGAAAATACTGTTTGCTCACGGATTTTGCTCCATGCACATTTTACTGTAACTGGAAAATGTTACTCATGCATCATGTGCCTGTGTGTGTGTATGTATGTATCAGATATATCCCTAAAAACCACACTGATATTTCTTTGCCTGTATCTAGAAGAAAGATAAAATAAATAATTTTGTTGAATATCTTAGAATTTAGTTTTCACTGTCCATTTCTATCTGTTTGATTGTGTTAGCACAGGTGTTTGTTAGCTCTTTGTAGCTGCAAAAGCATGAACAAAAAGCTTTACAGCATTATTTATTCTCCAAAAATCATTTTGGCTCACTCTGGTCTTCCTACTGATTTTGAAAATGAAGTGTTAGTTTCCCGCTTCAGGCAAAACACAAAATACAAAAAGCTTTCCCATCAGACTAGCACAACAGTGATGGTTAAGGTAATTCAAAAGAGATCTTTTAATAATAAAAAGCGCATTGATTTCCCCCTGCTCCCTGCAGAGAAAGAAAACCAAATACCTGGAGTTTTCTTCTGGCACATTTTGTACAAAGCCACCAGTGAGAAGACAGAGAGGGTAATGACTATCAGGGTGATGACAATTGGCAAGATAACATCTGCAAAAGAGGGAGAACATCATTTTGGCTGCTGCCTCTGACTTAAATTGCCTCTGTGTACAGGTGCTTGCACACACTAAGGTGAGAGGCACCTCCAGCTCCACTTCACCAAACATTACCCATTTTTCTGGAGAGGATAACCTACTGCTCCTGCTATTCTTCCTGCAACCACTGAGCCTCAGGCTTGGGTGCTTTGTGGAGGGAAGACAGGCTTGCTCCTTCTCCCACCTTTACTCCTTCCCTAACACTCATGCTGCCCTGCGGAACTGGTTTCACCCATTTTTCAGTAAAAGAACAAGGTTTCAGCACCTGATCCCCTGGGCCCACCTTAATTTCAATGAAAATTGAAATCTGTCTCATCATTCAACCCAATGCTGATGGCCTCCAAAGGTTTTGTGAGAAACTCGTGTTCTAGAAATAGTTTTTTTGAACATGAAATTTATTTTTTCCTCTTTTTTGAAAAAAAAAAAAAAAAAAAAAAAGAGCAGTCTGAAATTCAGCAACTGAAGCGATTATTTTGCTTTTAACATTGTGCACCCAGAAAGACACCAAGGAATTACATAATTCAGTAACATTCCCCACAGCACTTAAACCAGGGATAGAAAATGCAAGATCTCCTTTCAAAATGAGGACATTTCTTTCCTTTTATTATTTCCCACCATCTGTCATTTCCTGACAGGTGTTTCCCAGCCAAGAAGCAAAAAAAGGAAAGAATTATGTAATGAAGAGCAGCTTTCCTTAGGAAATATATAAGTCCAGCTTCTCCCTTTTTATCATTTCTCTGGCAGCAACTGGCCACATTCAAATTCAGGAGGCACCCTCCTGCCTGCTGGCCTAAGCCCTGTGTCAGGGGGAGGCTGTATTCAATGGCTCTTGATGCAATTAATATTTAATGTTAATATAGATGCATCCTTGCATCTATGGAACTAGAGGGAGACAGTTTACAGTGGGAAAACATCAAACATACTTTGCTTAGTCAGTACTCCGGCTTGGAAATGGCAAAGCTGCAGCACCACTCTTGCCCCAGAGAGGCATAATATTAAAATGAAAGATTAAGCAGCATGCATCATGCAAATATCAAGTGCTTAAAGAGTCTGCAGAAGACTGCCTCCTAGGCCTTCTCTCCCATGACAATATGAATAATATATTCAGATCATACATTCACAACAATACATTCATATAATATGTACAACATGTACATGAGCAACTTTTTCTTATGTTCCCTTGTGTCTTCTCTCACAGGGGATGACTATTTTTGGGTTTTTTTTTCAATATCACCACTTTGAATCAGTTCTTGGGAATAATTGTGCTGCTCTACAGTGACAGCAGTGTCAGCTTATTGAGCTATGTTTCTCTTTGAGAGGAGTTTTATAACCAGCATTAATATTTGGTTTGTAATAGGGCCTAAGTCTGGTAAGGCTGGAAATAAAACTGCCAGTTTCATTTGTCTGCTACTCCAATCACTCATCAAAAGCAAAACTGATCAACTGAAAACTCAAAAGCCAGACAATTAAGTAAGAATACTCACTAGAATAGCTGATATTACTCCCTGTATGAGTCTGGTTTCCAGAACTGCTTTTAGGGCTTTCAGAAGTTGGCTCTGCAAAAGAAATAGTGCCTTTCAGGTAAAAATGCATTGCCAGAATTCCCCAAACAACTCCCTCTGAAAAATTACTCTCACAAACCAACTTCTGTGTCCCCAGCTCTGGAGCTTCACTTGGTGCTTCCCATCTATATTTCTCCTCAATAACACTTGGATAACTTGGCAAGAGGAGTGGAAAAGTTCATCTAGCATGGCCTAAAGAAACAGGCACTTTGTATGGGTGCAGATTTCCCTAAGATCCTCTGCTTGTCTACTTACAGGTTATGAGCTACAAACTTTTTCACTTTAGGAGGTTATGGTACTGTTCAACATTACAAGAGAATTTTTAACAAGTAAATAAACCAGAAAGAGGGTGAAAATTAGACCTGTCTCCAAGAGAATAAAGACCAAAATATTTCACTGCTAATTAAAAAAAAAAAAAAAAGTGCTAATAGTAGATGAAGAAGTCTGAGGTGCTATATTAGTAGATAGCAAATTTTCTTGAGTGTTGTTATAGAGGGGTCTGCCTGTTCTCTGCCCCATTTGGAGCGAGCAATGTTGTGAGCCTCTGGGGCACTTTTTAGGGCTAGGTTTAAAGGAATGCATTTCTACCTTCAGGTGCTAATCTGAATTTGAGTCAGGTATCAACACCGCAAAATATTTATTACCTTGCTGCATACAGCCTATGAAAAAACAATCACTGAACTTCCAGAGAGAAAACAGAAAATGCAAACATTGGCATTTCCCTAGGTACATTATATAGCACATGGGATTGCATTCCATGTTGGATGGAGGCTTGAGTAGACAAGTGCTCACTGTCTCTGAAGGAGATGTCTGGCTGGACAGACATGATGCAAGGTCAAGCATTTCCATTGACTGGCTAAACATCAGAAGTGCTCTCAAACAAAGGTGTCTGGGGAAAGTGATCTGTTAAAAAAGGGTCCTAGCAGAAGCTATAGCTCCATATATATATAGTGAGAACATGGTGGCAATCACTGAAGTTTTGTTGGTCAGGTACTTACAATCCACACCTGTAGGATTACATGGTTTCTCTTCCCAAGAATGGAAGAGGGGTCAAATTGTAGGGTGGAAGCTATGAAATTAGTTAAGTCATTAAAACAAATAACCTATGGCCATTTTGAGGTCTAGAATACAATTTTGTTCTACTAAGTCTCTGAAAGACATGTCCCAATTTTTACAGAAACTTTTATGTAGGCAGTACTTGTGACTCTAATCCATGGAGTTACAGTAACAAATAAGGTTTGTTTGTCCTAACCACGTAGGAATTCCTCTTCCTCGCAAAATGGATTTTAAACTCACACCCACTATTCAAAAATGTTTTGGTGGTTGTTTTCTTTCTCCCTTCCCCACTCTTCTACCTTCATTTGTCTGGACACAGACAGAAGCCTCCTGGGGAAAAATGATCACTTACTAAGTGCTTGTGCGGTTCCTAAACAATACAGTCATAGCTGAGACATTCTGATGCTAGAGTGCAGGAAACAATCATTGTCCAAGACTTTATCTCCGAAAAATCACTGTTTCTTTAAAGCAGAAGTTCTTTCCCTTGGTGCCTGTCTGCTGAGGGGTGATAGCACAAGGTTGGAAACTGAGCCATCACCAAGTGACTAAAATATTTCCTATGCATTCTTAATTCCATGTGATTGCTTCAGATTTCCCAAGGAACTACTACTGCCTTTTTGTTACCTTATCTGGTATACTACCCATTGCCAGGGCAAGCAGGCAATTATCACGGCAATGAGTTACCCTGGATACTGACTGGAAATGTCAACAGAAACAAATGGCACTGAAATACAGGAATGTGTATCCCCACATTTGTGCAGGAGATGTGTGCCTCTCCTCAGGAGAAAAACTGAGGACTGAAATCCACTTTTTTTTTTTTTTGTTTTGTTTGTTTTTTTGTTTGTTTTTTTGGGTTTTTTTTGTTTGTTTGTTTGGGTTTTTTTAATTGTTTATCTGTTAATTGACCAAGATGTGAGTAATAAAAGAAAGAAAAAAATCCATAGGTTAACATTTAAACTACTTGTGACCATCAGTAAGAAATATGACAGCTGAAAAAAACATTACTGAATAAAACAGAGTAAGGAACTAAAACCTTAAGCTCATTTCCCCACTTTTTTCATTAAAGTTTCTCACAAGTCAGCCCCTCCTGTCTAGTTTGTCTAGATCTGGAAGGTATTTTCCAGTTATGGAATAATCTGGGATCAGAATAAAAATGAATTGGAAAAATACATCCATCATGGTAACAGGAGGGCCAAGATTTTGCAGGCAGCAGCAAGAACTGCAGGGACCAGTGCAGAAGAGACTGTTTCCTGATGAGCCCGGAGAAAGGAAAATAGGACAATACAGGTTCATTAGCACAGGAAACTTGCCTTACTCTGGGACTTGCTGCTTCTCACTACAGGAGGAGGAATGAGAGCCACTGACAAGAACAAGCTCCTTCGTAAACACTCTATTTACAACAGCTTACCATTGCATCATGTAATATACCAGGCCGGATTTTTTCTGCAGTCCCACCCTGTTTTCTTTCCAGTGTCTGCCACTCCAACATGGTATTCAGCTGAATTCACAGCAAATTACTCAATGCTACAAGCTGAAATCACTCTTCCTCTGTACTGTGTTTCAGGTACATTATTCCCCTAGATCCTTCTTGCTCCCTGAACATTCCCTTTCCTCAGGCTGTCCTTCTCCTGCCCCACACCAGCCTTTCTCATCAGTGTGTATAAAGCAACCTCTTCTATTGCTCTTACTTGCTGAATTTGTAGGAGAGCTCGTGGGAAGGCCTGCAATGAAACAGAAAAATAGGTTTGTTAGTATCTGTTTTAGATGTCCAGAGTTTTCATATCATGCAAACTGGCAGACTCTAGGAAGATGCTCAGTAACACCCACAACAAATGCTGCCCCAGAAGGTACATGCTAACACTGTTCCCAAGCCTAGGAAGACTAAATTGTAAAAGTCTCCAGCCATCCCTTATAGATGGGAGCAGAATCCAAAGTCTATACTAGGTTATTACTCTGCTCAAGAGAATAAAATCCTGAGTTAATTGATACATTCCTTAAAAATTCCTCCTTCCAAAATTGAAAAAAAAGTCTGGGAATGAATAGCTGACATATAACTGCCAAGTAAGTCTTTTAATAAAAAAAAAACCCAATTGAGATACATCTTCAAGAGTCCCAAAACCTTTTAAAAAGAAATCTTTGTTTATTATCTTGGTGCTTTTGGTTAGCAGACTGCCAAGCAGCAGAAGCAAGAGGCACTGCTAATGAGGAAGAAATTGACCTTACAGAGCACTGGGCACAATGCTTACTGGCTCTACTGTCAGCTTCCCCCAGCTACTTCAGAAGTTTTTGGTGCACAACATTTTTTTTGGTTGTTGCTGTTACCATGCTGCTGTTCCTGCGTGTTTAGACTGTAGCAGGCTTGGAAATTAGAGTGGCTGTGTCCTCTGTGTCCCAGCTGTGCCCAGGGTGGGGGATGACAGAGGCAACATCATGAAGGCAGCTGTAACTCCAGGCAGGCATTAAGCCTGTCCCCTGCCTGCCCAGGTTGCCGTGCTCATCTAAATCAGTTTCCCCAGGGAGCACAAATCCATTCTTATACCCTTCCCTACACCTTCTGTGCTGCGCACAAAGACACCTCCTACCAGCAGAGCTGTAACACACATTGTTCTATTGCTGTGAACATACTCTTTGAAAACCAGAATGCTGCTCTTGTTTTTCCTTCTCTCTAAATGCAATTAAAACCATGGATCACTTCAGCTGCTGGGCTGCAAATAACCGCTTTTGCTAATGGTACATATGACAAAACTTAAACTGCATTTTAATCACAAGCGTTCATGAAAAGTATGTTTAGGTTGAAAAGCTAAGTACTTAAAAGTCAACAGTAAGAGCTCTTCTTGAACATACTAAATATTTGTAATGCTAAGTGTCCCAAATGTATACAGTTACCTCACCCTGGCTTCCTAGAATGCAAAGGAGATTGTTTTCCTAAGCTTGTTGTCGTCTCATCAATCCATCTGCAAACAGCAATATCACTGTGCTCTAAGAGGATCTCTGTGATGAATCATTAGGCAATGTTTATAGCATGGTTGGACAACATTACCAAGCAAATGCCTTCAGGAAGTTAATAAATCACTTGTCAAAGGAGCAACACACAGTACACAATGCAGGAGGACACATACCTGGCATTAAGGAAACATCCAAATATGATTTGATTGCTTATTACCAGAATACTGCCTTTCCTTCAGTCTGGTGTGGGATGCCATGACAAAAACACCATGTGATCACACAGCACGTGGGCAAACTAGCAAACTGTAAGGCCCTATGTGTGCATATTCTTGAAGAAAGGCAGAAGACTTTGTCAAGTGTTACAAATAGGTCACTTCTCTATGAAGTCACTTTGAATCTTGTCTCTCAAGGCTGTGGAGCTTTCTTTGAAAGAGCTCCAACATTATAACATAATTGAACATTTTCCCTTATATTCACTCTTACAAACAAGATGAAGCATCAAACATCTTGGCTCAAATTAAAACAAATAAATAAATAGAAAAAGCATATGAAGCCCAAGACTGATATGCAAATTCACCTCAAAGATTTAACAGCTTTTCAAACCTGAATGCAGGTGACATAAGCACAGGTGACATTAGTCTCTGCAAGCAGGAAGGGCAGGGGGACATGTGCTTCAGTACCCACTGGCACAACTAAAAGCCATGTAGCTGTCCTGGCCTTGCCTCTTTGATAAACCCAGAGAGCAGAAATGATCCCGGAGGGAAATATGACAGCAGCCACCTGCCCTTTCTTTCTGGGCCTCTGTTATTTTTTAAGAACTGCACACACCTACACACAATAATATACCAGCATCTTTCCAGAAGGTATCTCACCCAGATTTTGCTAGAGCATGAAAAATTAAATTGGAAAAATCTCATGCCTTCCTCTCTCTCCCTGTCTTCAGTATGTAAGCAAGGCACCAGTTCACCCTCTGTTCAGATATCAGTCCTGCCACACAAACAAAGCAGTGCTTATCTGAGTGATTCAGCAGGTGCTTTCAGTTTGCATTTTCCAAATAACCATCCAGTGCCCTTTTTGGTGTGGGCTCACCTGCTGCTGTTCTCCAGAAAGAGAAGAGAAGGAAAAGCAGCATTTCACTTGGTAACTGTTACTGTAGTTGCTCTAGCTGCCTGTACAGTGCTTGCTACCTCCTTTGGGGCTGCTAGCAAGATGCTCTGCATAAATAATCTGGGAAGATTTCCAGATTCATCATGAAAAGTGAGGTGTGCAACACTGGCTGTGCTGGGTTCCTCCTTGTGCAGTAAGGACGACAAGGATAAAAATTTTGGCACATGACCACGGTTTGATTTGAAATTACCTGTCTGAGTCAGTTCAGCACTGGTGAGAAGGTCGACAGATGGAGGAAGAGACCAATAACTAAACTCTCCCCATTCTGTTCTCCAACAGCCACTACCTAAGCAGCCTGGATACCCTGCAGTTTGCTACTTCTGTTTTTTGGAGTGCAGCCACATCCAACTGTGTTCACTGGCAAAACAAATGAATACATTTGGCTGATTACTCAGAGGGGATATACCACAATATAAATCAAAGCAAAATTAAAAACTTGAAAAAGCCTTTCTTGCCTTGACCACACCATAGATCTGTAATAGTGTTAACTGAGGCTTTGCTATGTTTTCCATCTCCCAGGAACTTCTGGTTTTGTGTCTCTCTCTTTGTGAAAGAGCTGAAGATACAGTGGGTAATTTTTATCTAATATCAGTATCCAGAGTTCCTGCAGTTTGTGTACAGAAAGAGTCAAACCCTACCAGTCTTACTCATACAAATTTTTCTTAGGGAGATGCCTCCTGTGAATCAAGTGAGTAGGATTTATAATTGGAGGAGTGCAATAAAGATATCAATAGATGAAGCAGGTTGATTCATCTGACAGTTTATTATAATAGATCATTTAATCTTACCACCCTGCTGGGTGAACTTAAGCTCATACTGCTTTATAGATTTTTTCGTTGTTTAGATCACAGAATAAAAAGCCACAATACTTGCAGTTTCTCAGATGTATTTAGACTTTAATCTCCAATTTTTCATTATTTAAACAAAAGGAGAAAATGAAATATTAGCAAGCAATCCTCTGTGGAGGTGGAGGAGGAGTGGGAGGTATATTCTGCACGACAGCCAAAGTTAAAGAAGTGCATGTGTCAATGGCACGCATGCAGGTGGCTCTCTTTGCTAAAAACAGTCCTCATTGCCTCCTCTAGCCTGGGTGAGCACTACGCAGCACCTCCTCTGTGGCTGGTGCTTTCAATCTCCTTTAATACAGCAATACTGTTCTCTGATGTTCCTACACGTTCTTTCCCAGGCTCCCCCACTCATCTCAGTCGCTCTCCAGCTCTCTGTAGCACTCCTCCCACACCCTGATCTTTTGATATGGCTGATTGGAAATTTTTCTCTAAAATGTGCTTTCTTCTTTTTCTGCATCAAGAAAGGAAACTTTCACCAAAATGGCATTTTTTTTTAAAAATGGAAAATGGTCTCAAAATTAAACATATTTAGCCAGTTGGATTATTTTGGTTGGGCATACCAAATAGAAATGTTCTGGTTTGCATCCATTTCACATTAATTTGTCTTCCCCTGAGCTCCCACGCAGAAGACGTGGCTCAGACACCTCCAGCTTGCAAGCTATTCTATCCCCCATGGGCTGCAGCCTTGGCACACACCAGCCCCTGCTCTGGTGAACAAAAGGCACCCAGCCCCTGAATGTGAAATTCTGGAGACCTAGGAATAAATAACCTAATGGCAGAGAGAGAGGTGGCATTTCCTCTAGTCTCAGCACAGGATGAAACAACTGGCTTCACAGTTGCTTTGCCTTATAGTCATTAGGGTGCAGCATATGGCTTTCCCTAGGCCTGAGCAGAGAGGAGAAAAAATCTGTTTAGAAGGAACCAAGACATTTTTCTTTAAGCTTTTAACACATACAGAGAATAAGGGAGCAAGGGTGGTCTAAGGCTTAACCATTTGGGATAAGCTACCTAACACATCAGGGTGAGAAGGGATTTCTTGCATACACAACCTTCAAGAAAGAAGCCAGGGGCTGGTGCTGTGAGGAGACAGGAAAGGTGATAGTGTGGAAATCCTGGTGTGGGCAGAAGTGATTTTGAAACGGCAGTTTTATGGGAACTCGGAGCTCTGGCTATGCCAATGATACCTAGACTGACTGCCCCTGGATGGATGGGTTCTTTCTGTCCCAGCCAGGCAATTATAGTTCTGGCATCTTGGGTAGTCTCTGAGCTCAAGAAGATTTATTGGTTTTGCAGCAGAGTAAGCTGTGTAAGATGATGACTTTTGCAAACAGACCCCAGGAAGGTTGTAAAACTTTCTTGACAAATTTTAAGTGTAAGATGTAATTACATACACAGCATAGTAGGTAATTCAATACACATGATGCTCAGTCAGATATGCATTACAATTTAATATTAACTTGGAGAATTTACCTGAGTGAGAGACCTTTTCATTAAAAATGTTGTAATTTACTGTTTTATTGCAGTATAGCAATGGTGAGGTTTCCATACTATGCCTGTATTTGCCAAAACACATGAAACCTAACAGGAAAGTCAAGTAACCACAGGTCACAGTATGCTTTATGTGGAATGGGCTTATTGAATTAATTGCAAAGACTTCTCTCTGAATCAGTGGCCTTGGGTTGACTTTAACTTCCTTAAAATGCTTATAATCTTTTTTTTTGCGTGCTCCCAAGCATTTCAGTGTATAGTGAGCATATTGCTCCACTTTTATATCCAATCCTATCCTTTATGAGGAAAAATCACAGTACACACATGTGCTTATCTCCCACAAACACAATTCAAAGGTTGGCAAAAAGGGTCTTGTATCCCTTGGGGGATGTTAAGCATTACTATTAATAACAGGGATATGCAAACAAAGACAGTGTCCTTGTTGGATTTACACACATGTAGCTAAGAGTATGTACTAAATGAAGGGAAGGCCCAAGAGACCTTAAGCAAACCTGAATAACTGATTCTTCAAAACCTAGGAAAGTTAAGCCAGCTAGAAGTATAATAAATTATCATTCATATGACCAGGCATCTGCATTCGCCACAGTGTTTCTTAGTGAATACATACACCAAAACACACTCAGAAAAACAGTAAGATCAGACTGGAGTTGAGAAGAATTGATACATTTTTGACCTTGCATGCGACCATGCTGTACTTTGAACAACATCATTTAATTGGTAACACGTATAAAATTTTTCTCCAGATTTTTTAACACCTGTAAAAATTATAGCTGTTTTCTCCTTTGTCTCCTCTGCCTTGCAGCCAGGGAATTTATCTTGATGACCTCCTCTGACAGCCAATGCTACACAATGACCTCACACAGCATATAAGATTACTATTAGCACTTGAAATTTAAATATTTCTGTAATGACACCATGTATCTCAGCTGAATGTTTGGAAGTTCACCCATCACTCAACAGGACTTCAAGGCTAGGTGACATGGACACAGTGTACCCTGCATGAATAAGGAGATGTGGTCCTCATTCCATCACAATGCACAGCAAATGAAGAAAACACTCAAAATTATTTGCATCCTTTCAACTGCTTGTATAGAGGAAGAAAGTGCATGTTTTCAAGACTTACCTGAGGTTCCAGAAGCAGAAGTGTTTGTTTTAGGAGAGACCGTAGAAGAAAAAGAGCGTCCCGTAGTAGATGCAGCATCCAAACTCTCATTTTGTGCTGATTGTGCTCCACTTGCTTGTGTAGCTGGAAATGAGAGAGATGTTCAGGTAAGAGGCATGTGCACAAGCATTGTCTTAGATTGCAGACCATCCCTCAGACATATGCCCTGGCCATTACAGAAAAGACTAAATGTAAGAAAGCACTACATGTTCTGGTACTGCCTCTCAAGGAACAAACCATCCCTATGGAATTGTTACTACTGGCATAGCTGAGGCACCTTCAAAGCACATTGTAGCAAGAGAAACAGCCTCATATCTATGTAGAAGTCAACCCAGAGCTCTGAATTGGGACCCTAGCATAGACATTGTTGCACAAAAAGCAACATGAGCAGAAGAGAGAAGCTCAACTTGCTGCCCTCTATATTTTCCTTCATTTTAAAATCAATCAATCAAGCTTCAGTTACAACTGTCACATAATGTGATACTGTATAAATTTTAGGGATTGTAATTAAGAAAAGAATGAATTATTTAATTCTGTGCCATTAAGCCCTAGGAAATAACATATCCCTGAATATTAACACATGAAAAATAAATTGTCTTATTTCTCCTCTCACTCAGTCAACAGGAGATCAAGGCTACTGTGTCACAAGATTTGCAGCCTAAGGCCAAGACAATGGTGCAGGACATGACATGATCCCATGGAACTGAAGGTCGTGGAATGACCAGAAAAAATGTAAGATATTCCAGCACTGCCCATAATTCCTACGTCTGTACTCAAACCTCAGAATAACACCAGGCAAGAGAGTGCTTACTGAATAAAACATAGAGGTGCCCAAGAGTAACCTTCTACTTCCTGTCTGATATAAATCAGAGAGGCTACTGAGATGTAAATTGTTTTTAGTGCTTCTTCATATGAATTTTAAACACTGGAACTAAAACAACTTTAAGACATGTTTCAGTCAGTGAGCAACATCACACACATGCAATATGTAAATCTTGAGGAATGCTTCATCACACACTTTATCTAGAAACTGATTACCAGTTTGGTAATCAAAGAACCCAAAGCTCCTTATTCTACAACTATACACCTTTACCTGGGCTTTTCCCTTCCCCTCTTGTTCAGCAAGTGCAGTATTTTAGAAAGGCAAGCTCCAAAAATCAATAAGAAAAGAAAGAGTGAGCCAAAGCCACTGGAGTCAGGGGATTCATGTAATTCTGGAAACTGAGAGAAACTGGGCAGCCAGGGATGGTGTCTTTCAAGGTTGAGGCATGAAAATGATGCAAAATAACTTTAGTGCCTAAAACTTTCACTGGGATTCTAGTGAGGAGAAGCAGAATTTCATGTCAGCTTCTTTGAGGAACTTCAGCATTGTACCCCTTCAATACACAGGTCTGCCTGCAGTAGAGAGGAGTGTAAAAAGCCCCTCTACCTCATTTTATACTATGGTATAGTGCAACGATCTGATAGCATTAACAATTCCTACATTCTCTCCATGGCAGCTTTGAATCAATCTTTAGAAGCAAACTTTTTTCACATTTGATTCTTATTGTCGTGGCTTCAAATTTTGTATGTTGAATTTTATTCTGAGATCAATTTTTAAAAAAGGAAAAAACCCCAAACTGAGCTACCTCCCTCTTCCTATAAGATGCACAGTCTTGTAGCAGTACCAGCAACCATCTTGTGGCTCCCTTGTCATAGGTTAGAAAAGGATTGCATGGGAAAATGAAAAGAAACTCAGAATAACAGCGCAGAGATTCTCAAACACAAATATGCTTTGTGAACACTGCGAAACAATCAGGTGTGTGGGAGAGAGGAGGAGGGAGGCAGCCAGTTACCCTGTAACCCCACAGAGGGCTGTTTTCCCATGGGGATCACTCGTTCCACACATCCTATCAGTCCTGGCAGCAACCCAGCCTCGGGTGCTCCTCTTGTGTTTGGGAGCTGTGAGAACAGATTGTTCTCAGGAACACGGGCTGTGCGCTGGATATGCCTTGGCAGGGGATCGGGAGAGGAGGGATGATGGCATTTCCATTTTATTTTATTTTTTAAATTTAGCCAGGATGAGATTCTCCCAGTGACCCAGGTAGCACCAGGTATGACTTACACCTTTACCTAGGGCTTGGCACAAAGCTTGTTGCATTTATTTTGCTAGACTGCAGAACAGGCTCAGTGCTCCCTACGTCAAGGGGCAAAATAGATGTACTACAGGGCAAAAATCCGTGTGCCAGTTTTCACCACTTCCAAGATGGAAAACATGACCTGGCGGGTAAGGCTCCCTTAATTCCACTGCAAGATTAAATCCTAGCAACCCAATTCTCTGCTGACTTGCGGCTTTGAAGCAGCATCCAAGCCTCACGCCTAATGCACAGCAGAGGCTCTACCACCAACACATTCAGCAGATGAGACAGCTTCTGCACCAAAAGCCTGTGGGAACAGAAGCATCCATACCCAGCCACTGCTCGTGTACTCAACAAAGATGTGCCTTTTCGCTGAATCCCCTAACTCATACCCCTGCGAGCTTTAATTCGGTCTCGGCGGCAGGAGACAGCGCAAGCCCTCGCCGCGGTGCCCGTGCTCCGCGCGGGGACAGGCGGGGGACGCGGCGCGGTGACTCAGCCCTGCCAGCCCCGCTGACACATCGCTGCAGCAATCCATCACGCCTCGCCTCCGCCAGCTGCAGCACCGATCCCTGATCCCTGCCCGCTGCCAGGGGGAGGCCTGGCCTTGCAGAAAAGCAGCACAAGGGCGGCTGCTGCTGCTGCAGAAGCGCTCGCATCATCGGTTCATGGATTTGTTGTTAACAGCTGATTACGAATAGAAATGGTAAAGCAGTACAGAGAGTAAAATAGCTGTCCAAATGGGGATGATGGCTGTGCCGGCAGAACTCTCTGGTGGTGATGTAACTCTCCCTGCTGATATTTTCATAAGATAAATGACAGTGTGCTAACACATATTTGGCAAAGGGATAATCAACAACAGGGAACCTGAAGCTGCCTTGCAAAGCTGCTGTCTGAGCTTCAGGAATTTGCTTACTCTCTATGCTTTGAAAACCCTTCATTTTCTTTAACCAGCTGAAATTGGACACATATCCTCACTTGATCTTAGCATGGTTTTCTGCTTAACCTATGTATAATCCACATATATTTTGGCTTTTCCCAACAGTACTTTAAATTTTCTTTACAGTAAGCTGCTACCTAATTAGTTTTGACATTTTAAGATGCTTCAAGTAACCCACAAACACCCTGCATATACTCTGTGCTCTGCAAAGAACATGGACATCACTTTGTGTGTTGAAACCTTCCTTGACCAATAAATCAATTAACGAAACACTTTGAAGGGGCAAAATGAACTCCACCTAAACCATGTTAAAATGCCAACACAAAAGCTTTTTAAAACGGAAAACTAAAGCTTTTCTTTTGAGCTTGTATTTTTAGCATTAACACACATATAGGCCTTGCCCCCATAATCAGTGGCCTGAAAAGCCATTTGCATGAGTGAGTGCACAAAAGCTTTGAAAAATCCCATTGCAGTAATCCCAATGACATTTTTGCCCATTCAGAGGAATGAAACCTGGCTAGGGAGGTAACCAAACAGATCTCAGTTTTAATGTTTATATCCATAGCTGATTGCAAGTGCTGTCTGCAGTTTTGTTTTCTGGTAAGCAAAACCCCATAGTATTTCAAAATACATATTTTTAAACTTCTCTCTGCATAAAATGTCTCAGCAGCCAGTGTTCACCTATAGCATGTGCTAACAAACTGGGGAAAACTGTGCAATACCTGTTACAAGAATGCTTTTCTGGTAGTGCTCCTGAGGTAAAACTTATTTTTCAATTACCAGTAGTTTGATTTTTAAAAAAAAAGCCTCCACTGGTTCCTTTTGTCACTTTTCAATATTTATTATACTACTGCACCATAATGTATCAGCATCCAGGAGAATGGCATAACTCAGAAAGACAACAGTCAAAAATCCACTCCTATTTGTCACATAACACCTTGAATACTGAAATTACATAAGATACTTGCTCTATATCCAAGGGAAGAAGAACAGAAATTTTTGTTGCATTTAATTTCTTATTCTATTTGATAACTTCAAGTGTCCCAGGATAAGCAATCCTGATTGCAGATGCAATTTTCTATGGTGTGACACCACACAAATTCTTGTTTTAAGGGTCTGAACCACACAAGCGAGGTCACTGACTAAATGTGAACTCTTGCATTTGACACCTTACATTGATAAATAAGAAGGCTAAGGAGACCAGTCTGATGTTGGCTTCTAATGCAATAAACAGGGCAGGAAGGCAAGCAGGAGAGATTGTACTTGTTGCCTGCAGAGGAAAAGAACACTGAAGTCTTGGAAAAAAATAAAGGACAAAGATGTTTGCATGATTTCAGTGCATGGAGCACTGGGGGCTTTTCCTGAATCTATAATAAAAGGTGACAGCAGCCACAGAAATTGCAGCAGTGACAGGAAGCCCTGTCAAATCTCAGTTGTGTGAATGCAATGGTTTGCTGGAGCTTTTAGCAGGGATTGAGGCAGAGAAAGGGATGTCTTCCATTACAAAATGACAAAGGTGCCTGCTTTTTATTAAAAATCAGGTGTAGCAAAAGTAAATTTCCAAGCGTCATAAAGGCACCGCCAATTTCTGCCTCACACACCCAGTACAAAAACGGGGAGAAACGAGTGCTAGTGAAAAAGAAAAAGTGACAGCAGCCAGCTTTTCCCTCCTGTCCATTCTGAGAGCAGGAGTGTTGCTGTGCCTGCGCTGGCTTCACCCCGCGGGTGCGGCAGGGGCCGGGAGGATGCAGGGAATGAAGCCAGGGCCACCCGGCTGTGCCCGTGCTGGGTGGGAACGCAGGGGTGGCTGTAGCCAGCAGCTGGATGGTGGCCAGGGGGTCTGAGTGTTTTCTGCAAGGCTGGTCACACACACAGAGCCCTGGTGCCACACCCTGTCCCAGCACCAGCACCGTGTGCCCCTTCCCACTCCTTTCTGCTGAAGCCAAGGCTATGATTTTCTTACAAAGGGGACTGAGAGGCAGGAAGGCCGTGTTTTTAGGTTAATTTACCAAAAAAAAATTTTACCACAAGTTTGGAGGGGGACGAGGGCTTAGCTAAAATGAGGAGTTTTAAAACCAAACCACAACACAAGCAGCTAGGGACTGAACTCTACCTGATGGGAAGAGAATGCAAGAGGAAAGGCAGGGAAGCAAAAAAATCTTCCTGCCCAAGCCCATCACACCTCCAGCAGCAGTTTTTCAGCGCAGAGCAGTGGCTGGAGCTAAGCTGCACTGGCAGGCACGCCTTTCCTCATTAGCTTTCCTTCCCCTGCTGGGAGCTCTACCTGTCACCAAGGTTTAGTTCCAGGTGGCTGTGCTGCTCTGGTAGCCACAAGCCAGGAATCTCTGCCAAATTGAAAGGAGCAGGAATTACATCCATAATGCAATGTGCCATGCTGTGGGCTTCTGACAGACTTGCAGTGCCACAATTGCAAGTTTTAAGAGATTTTTTGGGGCCTTTGGCATCACTTTGAGCAGTTCGTGCATTGGCCAGGCTGTGTGTATTCTGTGTTGTGAGTCATTGACAGTGGCATTTAAAAGCCAAGCCAAAACCCCAAAGATTTTGGGCTGACAATCAGATCACTCCTTACACAACATGCAGTGGAAAAGCTGCATCAGTAGAAAATGAAACCATGAAGTGAAAGGGGAATAGTTCTCCAGGAAGCTTGGCAGGCTTGGATCCATGAGGGGTGGTTTGAAAGGAAAATTTTCACAAAAAAAGCATGCAGACTGCTTCACAGGAGTACCTTTTCAGACAAATACACCAAAGGAAGAGAAGTCACAGTCTAATAATTTATAACAGTTTAGTATGCTGTAAAGATCAATTCTGAGTACATTGGTGTATCACTGACTGCTGAGGTAAATATCTGGAGAATTTTATTTTTTTAGTCAATTAAAAATAAAAAAATGGAGTGTTCCAAAGCTTTGGTTCATCAGAAGACTGGAGCAAATATTTACAGTGTATATCATAGGCAAGAGAGAATGAATTTCATCTTAAGTTTACTGAATTCCTTTGGCATGTTATTATACTATTTAAAATTAACCCAACTACTTGTTGGATATGTGGGTTTAATTTTTTGTTTGGTTAGGGTTTTGTGGTTTTTTTTCGTTTGTTTTGGTTTTTTTTTTTGTTGTTTTGTTTTTTTTTGGGGGGTTTTTTTTGGTTTTTTTTTTGTTTTGTTTTGTTTTTTGTTTTTATAGAGTTTTTTTTTCCTTATTATTATTTTTTTCTAAAATCCAATCTGATATTCCAGGCACATGCTATTCTGAAGATTTATGGAAAATAAAAGTATTTCTTTAGATTGATACAGAATAATTAGTATCACCTCTCTTTCAGTACTATGGCTAGCAATGAAACATAATAAGCATAGTGTTCTAACACATACAAAAATAAGAAACGAAGGGATGTTGTTCTGATAGCATTCTGATCACATAAAATAATTTCTTTCTTATTTCATACTTATTGAAAAAATCCCAAACAAAGAACAATGTAAAAAATTAAAACCCTTCCAAATACATCTCTCCCAGTTACAGGGAGATGAACATCCTGTGTAATGGCTTCAGATCACCTCCATTATAAATTAAAGGTATAATATTCTTTGTGGAGTATTCCAGGGCAAGCTTCATTTAAGATAAATAATATGATAGGATGAACAGCTCTGCTTCCCTAAACTACTCTTTTTGACCTCCTTTTACTGTTTTGCAGAGTTTTACAGAAATGTAGCATAGAATGACTCAGAAATTGTTCAATGAAATCATCACTTACTGTTTGTTGTGCTGAGACTTGTACTTGCTGCTGAAGTCACAGCTTGTGGTTTTTCTGTTGTACCTTGTGCTGTTTGTGATGTAGCATTAGGTGTAGAAGACGTGGGACCTAACACAGGAAAGACATTCAATTTATTTCCTTGATTTTGTGAACACTCATAAAATACATCTACTGCCCTGCTTGCAGACTAATTTTAAATTATCAAAAGGATATTTAATTGAAATTCAAGATCAATAGGGGCAGGGCCCCACTGACTGCAGGGAAAGCCATTCCCTCTCCCATAGGTGTGTCATCCCACTGCAGACAAGCCTGTGACAATGCAGTTGGAAGGCACAGCTCGGAGCTGCTTTTAAGCCTGACCAGAAGGGAGCTCCTGCACACACCTGTAAGGTTTCATCAAAGAGTATACTCCCTGTAAAACAAATTCCCACACCAAGAGGCACTGCTGCCTAATTTCCTCAAAGACCACCAGAACAGCATCAATTAACTTGGAGATTTTCACTTACTGCTTGTGATGATTTCATTTGTAGCTCTGACTATAGCTGTTGTCAGCACTGATGCTGCCAATGTTGCTGTCTGTGAAGTTGTTGTAGTCACAGGTTCCCCTTCTGCAAGAAAGGCATTCACATCATTATGGATTTATTTTATCGTGCCTAAATAAAGATCTCAGTGCTCTAGCTGTGTTCTCTTACCAAGGCAGTGAATTTCTGTTTAAAAGCTGGCCCTCACAGGGCTTTATTACCCACACATTTTGAAAGAGGATTCAAAGTACATATGGTTGGTTTCAGAGGGGAGGTTTGGCCTGTGAACAACCTGCAATTGCACCTTCCAGGCAGCCCCTAAAGGAGAGGCACATGGTCTTTGGGGATTATACAGAAGTGCTTGGCTTGACTTCCAAGGGAAGAAGTGAGGGGAACAGAGCCTGGTGTGGATGGATGGGTTCAATGTGCTGCCCCTCTGAGCAGCACTTTGCTGCATACTTGTTTAGGAGGAAGAGGGATGTAAAATGCCCATAAAGAAGTGTGAGTGACACACGGGAACACAGCTTATAGATCATAGGTAAAGAGCTGAATGGGAACAGACTCCACTAGCCTTTGGGCAATTTTTCTCTGTGTTTGCCCACTTTGAGACACATTTGAGTTTTCTTCATTGGCCAGCTTTCCCAGACCTTCTTCCTCTGCACCCAGATTTCTGGGAAAAAAAGGAGTACCCAGCAGGCCCTCCTCTTTGGAGTACAGTAAAGCTTAGGACATTGTGGATTATATGAATAGTATTCTCTAGTAAATTATATTCCTTGGGGTGAACTGAGTGCCCTTTGTAAGGTGACTCCTAGTTCTGTCCTCAAGAGGAGTAAGAGTTGGAGGCTAAGGAGAGGGGAAAGGCCTCCTGCAGGCAGCAGGGATCCCTTCCCAGCCACTGCTGGTCTGGAGAGATGGGAGCAGAGTTGCCCAAACATCACTAAAGCAATAGCAAGGTTTAAATCATCTTGTCTTGCTGTGCATAGATGGCCTACTGCAGGTCCCCCAGCACTTGCTCAAAGGAATGGACTTACCAAATTACAGCAAGGGAACCCAGACTAAAAAACCCTATAACCAACCAATTTATGAGTTCAGCTTTCAATTCTGTGATCTAATGCAAACAGGAAGTGCTACTGTCAGCTACGGAAGCTCAAATAAACACCTGACTACCATCTCTACCTACATACTACCTCTTCTGGCATTTTTAATGGATGACATATGTGAAAGAATGGGAATAAATCATTGCACCCTGTGTAATTTTCTCTCATAAGACTCAAGTATTTCTAAATGCAGTGTTCACACTAGAACTTTTGAAATATACTTTCTTTCTGTGCTCTCAGTTTTCTGGCTGTTCACCTGGAATAGCAATGCCTCAAGGAATGGGCCTCCTTGTTCCACACTCACAAATTGTTTTAATCTCATATTGGGTTTCTAAAGATTTTCTCATAGTGGCATAAATATCAGCACTGCTTTCTCTTCCATGAAAAAAAGCTGCAAGAAAAATTTCAGTGAAACATTCCAAGAATTAACTCACTGTGAGGTACATTTATGAAGTGTCTTTTAAACAGACATAAACATTAGGATTTTTGAGAACTGCATAAAAGAGCTGCAACACAATTTGAATAGGTCAAAACCTTTGCTGTAACAAACATAATATACAAATATTTCACCTGGCTGCAATTTATTCACCTCCATTACTAGCACTTCAAGTGTATACTTCATAATCTCAGTGCTTTCATCTCCACAGCAGACTCATTAGTACCCCCAGTTATCAAAAACCAGAACACTGTGTCCATGTTTTCTTCTCTCATATGTATAACTAATTAAATGCAGCAGTCTTCAATATTCAGACTAATAAAGGAGTTCACATGATTGAAATATGGTCAATATTGATTTTTCATACATTTTCATAACAAAGATGCACAATAAAGAGAACTGAATGTGACAGTCAAAGATGTAGACCAGAATCACAGACTTTTAACATCTGAAGCATGTATTTTCTCCATTAAGTCCTCTTGAACTGGAAATCTTTGGTAATTTATCAATATCTGATCTCATCTGAACCACTCCTTGAGAGCACAGGAACTCAGAGAACCTTTTTCACCTGAAACAAAAAGTGCAGCCTGTTCAAATTAAGCGTCTCCATACTAAGATACTTCAATCCTTTCTTTGCAACAGAGTTTCATAAGAGATTCGGGGAAATACATTGTTCTATGATCACACTGGATGAAATAATTCAGCTGGTTTCTCCTAGAAGCTGGAAAAGCTGAAAGCTAGAAAGACAACAGGATCTTCAGAACACCAGATAACAGCAAATTGGAAGTCTTACCAGCTTTTGATGTTACTGCAGAAGTGGTTGTCTTGACAGTAGTGGTTTGAATCCCATCTTCTGAAAGAAACACAGAAAGAATCACATCACTTCTGTACCTTCCAGATCTACTTAGCACCACATAGTCATAATAGTAGAGAGCACCATGGACCTTCCTGGAAAATCAAGTTCAGAAGCTTATCAGCAGAAGCAACCAAATCATATAACTCTGCTAGCAACATTTTCAAGCTATAGCCTAAATATCTTCATTTTGCCCTGACTACTCTAATGGGAAGCATCTGCTGCTGCCTCCCATCTTGGACTGCATGCTCTTTTCCCATACTAGTTGGGAGGGGGGAAATGGAGACAAAGTGGTTTTTGCTATCTCCTCCTCTCCTTGAATACAACCACAGTTTGCTCTGAGTCTTCAGGGTGGAGGATTAACTAAAATAACTAGCCACAGGAGTAAGCAGCCCTTCTCCTGCCTTTAAGTAACAAAACTGTACTAGCTCTCTGGCTAGTGCAAGCACTTCAGGAGGGCTTTTCAGCATCACCCTGATGCCTAAATATGAGAGGAAGAGAAGAATTCCCAGAACATGGCTCGAGAAGCACCACATCGAAAGACTGACTTTTCCCGCTGCCCTCAATGCAGTGCTCCAGCTATTGGGGTTTCACTGCCATAAATGATGCCAGTCTTAAAAGCACTTCAATATTACAAAACAAATAAATAATCCAAAAAAGAAACCTCAACAAACAAAAAGCAAAATAATGTCTCTTCTTACTGTGCTGCAAGGTGGTAACATCACAACTCAAAAAGTGTTTTGGCTTCAAAACAAGATTTTCAGTCTTATTGCTGCGGTGTTCATATTTTTCTACTGAAAGAAGTTAGGGGGTGTTGAAAGGGGTCAAAAAGCTGCACTGACTCAGAAACAGGCATTTCTCAACCATTTTAGACTGCTATGAGACAAGTATGGGTACATTTGTGGAGGAATAGATCAAGTCTGTAACTGAATGGGAGAGGAAAATGGCACAGGCTAATCCCCATGTGCTGTCAGGTTTGAAGCGTGACATCCTGCCAGGCTGCATTAGCATGCTGTAATACAGACATGCTAAACTGAGTCAGGACAGCATGTCAGTATTCCTATGTGACTCCATTCATGGTAATATCTGCTGGCATTCTCTCTTTTTTGGCTACAGGGCAGAACAGTCAGTTTTGTTCCCTTTGCTCAGTGTACTGCACTCCGATTAAAATTTCATGAGCACCACCCGAAGCCTGCGAGAGCCACAGATCTAACCTGGAAAAAACCCCCCAAACAACGTAATACTACTGCAGGGGCTTTGCAGAAATGTATTAAGGTCCAACAATATAAGCCCTTACAATTCCTCTCCAAGCAGTGTGTTATCAGTCCTCTTGGCACCTGCATGTTTCTAACAGGTCTCAGACCTTTCCCAGCGAGCCCCACTTTCTTGGGCATCTTTTCTAGGTATGCTGCTGCCTCCAAAATGCCTTGTCAGAGCACATGCTGGCTCAGTTTGACATGGGCATATCCTATATAGAATTAAATGAGTCCCCTGCTGGCCTGCTGCTGCCCCAGCTCTACTCCCCAGAACACGTGGACACAGCAACACCATGCATAGACTGCATTTAAAACACAGGTTTTCTTGCCATGTGGTTACCCAGTCAGAGTAATGCTTCATAGCCCACACTTGAAAAACTGGGAAAACAAATTTTATCCAGAGAGACCTAAAGGCAATCTCGTTGCCCTAATGGCAAGCATTTTTCCATCTCTTCATTCTCATTATGTACTGCTGACAAAGCTTCTGTAATCCCCCACACCACAAGACCACAGCACTAGAACAGAATGTTTTTTCAACAGTGCCTACATTTCATATGGTTTTGTTTTAATATATCTCAGTAGCTACCATTGTCTGTAATGCCAGCTAAACGTACTAGCTGGCCAATCAGCTCGTTCCCAAACTCACTCTTCCCAAAACTCTTCCTCTAACTCAGCAGGACTTTGTAGGAAGCTCATTGCAATACTTAGATTATTCATCCTTTAAAGGTGTTCCATTTAATAACCGTGTTGATAGGCCGAGGTTTCCTCAAAACTAAAAAAAAAAGTGAATATAAGTCATAGTTTTATTATGACTCACTATTTGTTGATTTTATCACAGGTTAGAGATAAACTAAGATAAATTCAATTAACAGCGGACAATAGAGTTTTATGAATTAATTGTTTTTTTAAAATGGTGAATAATTAACTATACTTTAAAAATAAGTTGAAAACATCATGAAAAAATGTTTAAAACTTGACAGGATTGTGGGGTGAACTGTTTGATTAAAAGATATGATAGAACTGGTGGCTTATTATGCTCTTATTTGCAATGTTAAATTGTAACTAAGGAAAATCTTACAGGGATAAAAGCAAGATCAAAAACATGATAGGGAAAATAATTTTCACCATTAGAGATGGCTGATAGACAAAAAGAGGGACAGAAATCTTCATTTTTCTGCTCATGTCAGGTTGGCTGCAGGCTCAGATGATGGACAATTAAGTAAAGTTACAACAGCCTAGTTTTTTAGCAGATTTGAATGCAGTGATCCCTTTAATAGGAGAGCACATGGATGTACTCTGACACAGGAGTAGCCAAAATCTACTCTACTCAGCCACTGTTTCCACACAGAAACCATTGTCATTTGCTGTGTTTGCTGGCAATAAACCCAGCTAAAGGAGCATGGGCAACCCGTGATGCAGCACCCTTGTGTCTGGAGAACACACGGGGAGCTAAAAGGCTCTCAGACACAACACTGCTCTGAGTAAAGAGAGGATGCTGGTGGTGGTAAGATCCAAAAAGAAAAAAAACAAACAAAAAACCAAAACAACAAAAAAAACCCCAAAAAAACCCCAAAAAAACCCATGTCTTAAAGGAGGTAATAGGGCAAGAAGAAATTCAGATTGGGAGAAACATAACAAGAGAGGAAGAAGAGATGGGTAGAAAGGTCTAGAGACAGTAAGACAGGGTCACTGGGAAAAATACGAAGGAATTAAGATCCAAGAACATGTGACACATGGCCACAAGATCAAACTGAAAAGAAAGTAACTGTTGTGGCTTGTTTGTTTTTTTTTCCCCCAGGTTCATAGAATTTCTATTTATTGTCTTTTCTAGGTTGGATTTAAATGATATATTTGTTCTAAAAGGAAAGCAATGGTCTTCAGATTTTGAAATGGATGAACCAAAACACTGAACTTACTTTCTTCTTTTAAATTCAGGAGTCCTTGAATTTAGACAGGACTGACTGATGGCTACAGTCGTCCTCAGACTGCAGCTTTTGATATCAGCTTCAGTCTCTAAGATCTGAGCCTGGAGTTCTCAAAACCTTTTCTCTCTCTCTCTTATTCTTTTTACCTTTATACTGGAAAGATAGATAGGTTCTGACCTCATGTTAATTAGGTGCCTGTTATTGCTATAGTCAAGATATTAAAAAAAGGGAACGATTGCATGTTATATCTGTTATATATCTGTTTACACCATACAGGATACCACAGGTTACAAACCACAAAGTTTAAAACTCCACATGAAACAGATAATACAAAACTGAATGTCAAAGCAAAAACATGTTTAAAGATAATAGTTAGTTCAAAATAGAATTGATTATATTCATTACATGAATCACTAAATTTAAGTGCTGTCTGGTTTGGCATCAGTATCTAACTTTTAAAAGAAAATATTTTTATGGAAAAGTCGCTCTTGTTACAGATAACAAGTGAAATGGCCTGTTTGATATTTCTTTCACTTGACATTACAAAACCACGTGGCTAAAATCCTTTCATTCAGATGAAATACTTGGTCCAGGTTCAGAAGCGTGTGAAAAAGAATGTGGATTCCTGGAGGTGGGGAGTTAGTGGAGAACCATAAAAATCATCAGGAGTCTAGAGAAAAATGACCTCTCAGGAAGGATTGCAAAAATTGCATTTGCTCAGCCTAGAGAGGGAAGGATTAATGGAAGGCACAACAACAGCAGTCAGTAGGTGCGGAGCTGCAACCAAGACAAAGGAATAAACATATGTCCACTGAAGTCTGAATGAGAGGTAATGGACAAGGGAAATTTGGACTATAAACTCTGCAGGTGTTTCAGTGCCTGTGTCAAACTGTTGGTGTAATAGTCAGCAGCTGGTGTTTTCACCATTTTGCTGGTGAGGATGTGATATATTCCCACCCAAAACCTGACCAATGCTCTATAGGCTCTTCTTGGGAACAATTACCAAAGAGGTGTCCTGAGGAAACCTGCACAGGATAATTCCTTTCTTCAAGGTTATAAAGCAGAATCTACAGGTGTTTATATTATGTTTGTCTATTATGTATTATAGAATCACAGAATGGTTTGGGTTGGAAGGGATCTTAAAGATTATCTAGGTCCAATCTCCCTGCTGTTGGCAGGGATATCTTCCACTAGACCAGTTTGCTCAGAGCTCATCCAGTCTGGTCTTGAACACTTCCAGGGAAAATGCATCCACGGCTTCCCCAGGCAACCTGTTCCAATACCTCACCATCCTAACTAATTCTACTCTAATTCTAGTAAAAAATTCTTCCTAATAGCTGATCTAAACCTACTCTCTGTCAGGATGTTATATGATGGGTTTTTTGAGTGGCCTATGCAACTATATACAAGTCATAGAGATGTCAAAGTTGCTTTTTTGATTTCTGTTTTCCCACACCATCAGGAATAAATAGTGATCCCTTTCTAGCCCATGATAATTCTGCCAGCCCTCATGACCATGCAAGAGCCTCCTGTAACCACTGTTCCAATAGTACCCATGTAAAGATTGGATAGTTCATTAAAAAAAAAAAAAAAAAAAAAAAAAAAGTGATAGCTGTCCTTGTAGAAAATCTGGTACTGATCTGGGAACTCAGAGGTCCCAAGAAATAGCTGCTGCCTGACACCAAGTAAACAACTTGTTTACTCTTACCTTGGAGCTCTGTTGTCTGTTACGTTTTCTCTTTCATTTAATGCTGCTTCATCTCTATATTCTCTTATCTGATCTTTCCCCAGGCCCAGTACAGTCCTTGCACTTCCCCTA